GACCCTGGAATTAGCATTCCATATGGTTTTCACGCTCTATGAAATCTTATTCTTTTGTCCTTTTTCCCCAAAACCATTTGAAAATGTGAAAAACCGCTCTGAGCTCGTGGGCCATACAAAGACCAGCAGGATTTGTCTTGCAGGTCATGGGATGGCAGGCCTCAGGGTGGGCGTGGAACTGTTCTAAGATGTCACTTTCATATAAGTAAGCAGAAGCCAGGGGGAAAAAGCAGCCGGTGGAATGCGCTCAGGTCTGGGCATTTGCCTGCTGGAGGGCAGGCGGGGGCGGCCGGCTCTGCCCTTGGGATTTGGGGGCATGGCGGGTACTGGAGCCCTGCTCGTCCCGGGAGGAGGAAGCCCACCCAGTTCCTGGTGCCATGATGTGCAGACCGGGGCCATTTCTGAAGACGCCCCTGCTGATCCCGCTCTTCCTAGGACTGGCAGATGCCTGGTCCCCCAAGCAGGTAATGCCTGCACCAACCTGTCTGCCCTTCACTTCTCCGTGGCTGGGCAGGCTCTGCAGCTGGCCCCCAAGACCTCCGGAAGCCCAGCCAGGCTCCTCCTTGCTCTCCTTTCCCTTGGTGGAGATGGTGTGTGGTGAGCCCCAGGCACACAGCCCCTGCCCTTGGAGACAGACTTGTGTCTGCACCCTGGTTTCATCAGGGACTCTGACTTTGGCGGGGAGACATTATCTCAACAAGCCTCACTGTCCTCATCACGCCGACGGGCATCACGAGTCTCCAGGCCATGGGATTCTGTGTGTCATTGATGGGGCTGTGTCTGAGTACCACCAGGCAGTTAACATTATTTTGGTTGTGGGATGGCAGGGAGACCCCAGGCCTATTCAATGTAAGGACACTGTGTGTTGGGAAGAGGACCTGGATCTTGTCACAAAGCTGAGTTTCTATCGCCTCACTATGTGCAAAGGTCCTGGGGCAGGAAAGCACTGGGCTCCCTCATGGATCTGAGAGGAAGAGGCCAGTGTGTTGGAACATGAAGGACAGGGTGAGGGGCCTGGGGGTGGGGATTGTTCCGAATAAGAACACAGAGGAAGTAGGGACAGCCTCACTGTCTTGTGCGTCATGTCAGGGATGTGGGTATCATAACAGGGGGCTGTTAAAGGGACTGTCATATTTAGGGGTACGCACACATGTGTGTGCATGTGTGCGTGTGTGTGTGTGGTTAACCATCAGTGTTGTCCCGGGTGGAGAACAGATTGGGTAGGAACCAGAACAGAAGCAAGGACCCTGGTCAGCAAGCCACCACCGGGAAGAGGCAGGGACGAGTGGGACGGATGAGGCATTTAGGAGCAAGAGTTTACAAGACTGAGCGGTGGGTGGCAGGCTGGACTTTCCCAGCTGGAAGACAGAGGCTGCCCTTAACTGAGATGGGAGTGTTCTGTAGGGCAACTGATTTTTCAGCTTTATTTTGAAGTAATTCTAGATGTACAAGAAGCCACCGAAACAGTCAGAGTCCCCAGACACCCTCCACTGACTTCTCTTCACACTCCCATCTTACCTCCCCACAGCCCAGCGATCAAAACCAAGACCTTAGCGCCCGTACAAAACCCCCAGCTATGTGCAGTCCTTGTTGGAATTTCACTTGCTTTCCCACAAACGTCCTTTTTCTGTCTGAGGACCCAGCGCGGGTCCCACACGGCGCTGAGGAGCACATCTCCGTACTCTCGCGACTGGTCTGCGTTGCTCAGTCCCTCATGACTGAAGAGCCCGGGTCCGAGCGCCTGCGGAAGTCTCTCAGCTTGAGTTTGCGCATTTTGTGAGCGGTATTCATGTGCCTTCGTACGTGGGACATTAACTTCGATCGTGCGTTGAAGGTGGTGTCTGCCAGGCTCCCCCACTGGTCAGCCACTCTTGTCCTGAGTGAATACAGAGCCTGGGGCTGGCGGCTGCAGACTGTGCCGGTACCCTGTGCCTCCTCAGACATTTGCCCACCAGTTTTAGCATCCATCATGGATCTTGCCTGAAAAAAGTGATTGCTGTAATATTTGCACAATGCTGATTTTCTATTTCTTACTCCTTCTACGTGGACTGATTGGGTTTCTTCTATGAGGAAGAGCTGACCCTTTCGCTCTATTGATTTATTCAAGTATTTATTTATGTCAACGTGAACTCATGGACATTTATTTTATTAACAAAAAATAACAGGTAATTTTTTTGATGGATGGGAGGGTGGCGACCATAAATTCTCTTCTGGACGTGCCAAGTTTGAAGAGCCGACATGGTGTTCAAGGCATCGAGGCCACAGGTTCCACGCAAGCAGGGCTTGAGGAGTGTGTTTTTTCCTGTATGAGCGCCTTCCCCCCTGCTGTCTTGCAAATGCCCACAGAGTGGGGGCTGAGTCTAATCGCCGGCATCCCCGGGGCCAAGCATACACCAGTGGCCAGAGTGCGTGCCGAATGAATGCTGGCCGGGTAGACGATGGATGGATGCTGGGTGGAAGGATAAGCGGGTGGAAGGATAAATGGATGGATGGTTGGATGGACGGATTTGAGTAGCTTTATTGACACGAACATCAGGTTGATTGTCTGTCTCCAGTGACACTTCCCATCGCTTTGCTCATCGCAGGGATCCGCGTCTACTGCCGAGTCCTCTCTCTGCTCCCTGCTTCCTGCTCGTGTTGGGATCCAGATGGCTAATGCTTCTGCTTCCGGTTGCAACTGAAGAAAAAAGTAAGAACTCTGAGAACTCCAACTTCGTATCCCCACAGCCAGCTGCTGTCCGGTTCCTTCAGATCTTAAGACCCCCTCAAGGGATTCTGAGCAAAGGTGGGACCTGGTACACAGGCTTCGTCTAGTAAAAGCAAGCCACCCCCATCTTTGCCTTCTATCGAGGCTCACAACCAAAAGAGTTGCCTTCTCTCGTCCTTTTTTGCCACTCAGTGGAGAGCTCTGATTAGGAAGAAAGAATGGTTGGGATATTTCCACCAGAGTCACATCCTTGCATAATTCTTGCTCTTCTCATGTTTGCATACACATATCTGTAAGAGAAACCCCTGAAAGGAAAGCGGCTGGGTCAAGGGCATAGGCATTTTGAAACGTGGACAGAGCTTTATGAAACGACCCCCATAAACAACCGGGAGGGGCTGTGTGGTTAGGCGCCTGGAACCCAGCAGGCTTCTCAGCTGTGAGCTTGGTGACCTTGCTGTTCCGGAGGCATCTGCCTTTTGCAGTTTGTATGTCCTTTCCCTTAGGTCTGCTGAGCCTCCAGGTGTTACGTGGGACGTGGTGACTGTCCTACTTGGCCCCTCTATATGTTTTTTGCTCCCTTGCACAGAAATAGAGTTATTAGCTTCTTTTAACGTTGAAAGAGACCGTAGATATCATCACACTTTCCATTCTCTATCATCACCAACCTCATGAGCTTTGTAAATGTTTAACTTTTGTTTTCATTCACCCAACAAATACTAATTAATATTAGCTACTCAGTGCTAAGTCCTATCCTAGGGGTTGGCGGTATAGCAAGGAACGAAACACAGGAATCTGTGCCTGCATCGAACTTGTGTTCTAATGAGAGGAGAAGGAAAACAAAATATAAGAAGTAGGTTAAACGTGCGTTGGATGCTGATGCGTCATGTAGGGAGAGGGAAGTGCAGTGTGCGAGAGGCTGAAGAGGCTTCAAAGGGCGATCAGGGGATGTGACGTTCAGCAAAGACTCAGAGGAGGTGAAGGAGCCCGCCATGTGCACATCTGGGCAAAGGTGTTCCCGGCAGAGGAAACAGCATGTGCAAAGGCCCTGAGGCAGGAGAGTGCCTGGGGTCAAGCGACAGCCAGGAGGCAGCTTGCATCCCCCCTCTCATCTGAAGCTCAGAGCCCTGTTTACATCTGGGCCCCGTCCACTCCTTGATTCAGTGATCATTTCTGATTTCCTTTCCTCTTCCTTCCTTCCTTCCTTGCTTCTTTCCCTCTTCTTTCTCCTTTTTCTTCATTTTCACAAGAAACAAATGACTGCAAGGAAGAAGGTGAGTTGTGGACCCGTGCCCTTTAGCATCTTGAGGACAGGGAGTTCCTTCAGTCAGGGTTACGAGAAAGCCTTAAGATGCCAGGTAACCGAGAGCAGGGCTTCAGTACCGGAGAGGATGTCCTTCCGACGGGCAGCCCGCCCTTCAGGCCACTCCGCCCCTCTGTGCTGCTCCTGGGGATTGGGGAGGCCCAGCACGAGGAGGCGGGAGTGGGAAACATTCTTGTTTTTACCCAGTCCCTTCCCTTGCTTGCTGAATCCCCTCTTCCCGTGGAAATTAGCAGGCAGGTCCTGAGTGACAGAAAAGTGTGGCTGAAAACCCAGAGAAAGGAAGCCAGATCAGGTGACCCAGATATCGGGGATAAGCCCTTCAAAATTGCTATGACTATTAAGCTCACAAACATAGATGAATAATTTCACCAGAGAATTATAATTTGTAAAACACATTCAATCAAATGGAAATTCTGGAATTGGAAAAAATATAAGTGAAATTAAGAAATCAATAGTTGGGAGTAACAGCAGAAAGCAACGTTAGCGAGCTGGAAAGCAGGTCAGAAGAACTTATTCCAGGAAAAACACCGTGGATAAAAGTACAGCAAGTACAGAAAAGAGCAGGCGGCATGTGAGGCCAGTGAGAAGTGGAGCCACACGTGAACTTAGCATTTCAGGAAGAGAAGCAAGACAAACTGAAGTCGAAGCAATTCTGAAGGGTTAATGGCTAAGAACTTTGTGTACGGACCAAAATAACCACCAGGCAACAGATTTTTTTTTTTTCCTTGCAAAGTGGTTTATTCTTACAAGTTATTGCTGGGAAAAGTCCTTCAAACAAAGCAGTGCAGTGAAAATGCCTTAGAGAAGTATGAGCTTTTCAGATTTCTTCACAAGTTTTAGTATGATTTTTATATGTTCATGCTTTTAAATAGCTGCTACTTCAGACGACAGTAACTCTTTGGGGTCTATTTTTATTTCCCAGTTTGTGATTTTTTTTTTTAAGTGGCTACTTCAAGACGGTGAACTGTTTTACTGTCTTTTCACTCTCTTTTTAGTTCCTCAATATGGGCATCCAGGCGCTCTAGAATATGATGAGACCTCAGTTCCTCCTCTTACAAAAATCTTGCAGCGATTGAACCAAGAGGAGATACAGGCCAGGGACACGAAGACATAAACTCTTCTTGGTCATTTATATTCTCAGAGACAGTGTCAGAAAAACTGGCTTCATTTGCATCTAGCCCTGCAGACAAAGAGTGCGTGTCACACAGAAAGTCAGAAGGCGAAGAGACGGTGGAGCTGTCAGGGCTGGTTTGAGGACTCTGGGGACCGAGGTCCCTGGAAATGGGCTCTATACCAGCTGACGCTTGTTCTCCTGGAGAATGAAGACCCGTGCGGAAGAGCTCAGCCTTTATTCCCTCAGGTCTGTGCTGGCCATGGGGTGGCTTCAACTCTGTACCCTTGAACTCAGGGGCTCTGCTGCGTGTGCGTCTTAAGATCCTATCATAGTTTTCTTTGCTCATCTGGGTTGAAATCTCCAGCTTAGATTTGCTATCCATCAAATCTTTGTGTAGTTGTTGATTTTCAGACACTAATTTATTGAATGCCTCAATATAATCCTCCTGGAGGTCTACTAGTGAATTCTCTTCTGCCTCATGTAAACCTAATTCCAATTTCATCACTGTTTCAGAAAGATGATGATTTTCTAGCTTGAGTGACTCCATCTGATCCAAAACCTCCTTACGCTCTTTTGCTTTTTCTTCTGCCTTTTGTATCTCTGCTTTGAGTCTCTTTTCTGTGTCAGAGGAAGAACTTTTGGCAGAAGCGATCGTGATATCTCGCTTGTGTAACTCCCGAGTTAGCTGGGAGACTTCCATCTTCATCCCTTCTAGTACAGAACCGTGACTTTGCTCAGCCTGTAAAATCTGCCCTTTCAGCTTCTTAATCTCTGCCCTGTACTCATTGTTATATACTTCCATTTTCTTCAATTCTTCATATTTTTCCATTAGTTCTTGGCTCAGCTGTTTACATGTTGTGCTCACAGACTCCAAGCTGCTTTCTAGACGAGTCACCTCTGCTTGCAGAAGTTCTTTGCTATTGTGGGTCACATCCAGGTGGGAAAGCGCCTGTCTGACTCCTCCTGCCCTTGACCCACGTACCTCCCTTCTGCCTGAGGCTCCTCCAGTGACCTGATGGCCGCTACTGTGTGCTGAGAGTCAGTCACCTTTAATTTTGCTGGTAGCTTTTTCTTTTGCATTCTTGCCTCGTGGAAATTTTCTTGTGACTGAAGAGCTGCCTTCAATTTTCTTTTTTCTTCCTGCAAAACCTCTAAAAGTTTCTCAGACTCCCTCAGTTTTTCTTCTTTTTGCCGCTGTTCTTGCATAACAGTCATACTAGTTCCAAGCAAGTCACTGACCCTCGTGGTGAGGCGCTCCATCTCCAGCTCACCGGCACAGACAGCGTCCCGGGCTCGCTCCAGCCTACTGCTCAGATGCTGAATTTCTGACTGTCTTGACAGTTCCACGGGCTCTAATTTCTGTTTCCGATCGGCAGGCTGAGCCCGAATTATCTCTGATCGTTCAGCCAGAGCCTTCCTTTGTGCCTCCAGAGAAGACACCTGTTGCTGATAACTCAAGCGCTGCTTCTCCCAGTCCAGTGATTTCTGACGAAATTCCTCTATTTTTCCAGTTAACCTTTCAATTTCAGACCGATTGTCCCTGTGATTTTTGATGCGCCTTTTCTGTAGCTTTTCATAGCTTCTCTTCAGTCTGCCCAGTTCTCCATGCGGTCTCTTCAGCTCCTGCTTGTACTGCGCGGCCATCTCGTGCTGGACCTCCTGGTGCCCTTCCACGTGCCGATGCGGTGCTCCAAGCTGTCCGCGGAGAGTTCTGAGTTCCCGATCCCGGAGGGCCGGGCGAGCCTCCATCACGCGCGTCCGCCGTCTCAGGAGCTCCCGCAGTGCTGCCTCGCAGGACGTCAGCGGTCCCCCGTCGCGTCCCCGATCCTGAGTCCCTCCCAGCAAGGCCTCCACCCCCTTCGTTCCGGCCTGAGCTGCGCGCCGGGCGCGGCCACATCTGCCGTCGCGGCGGGCCTGGTGGGCAGCCGGGCGCACGGGCCGCACGGGCCGCGGCCCCGCCACCAGGGCTGCCTCCGGACCGGGACCCCGCCGCCCCTCGGCCGTCCTGGCCGTTACCGGGCCGCCCCGAGCGCGGCCCCGAGCTTTCCGCCGACACCTCCAGGCAACGGATTCTTAAAGTTCTGAGAAGACCCCACGTGTTATGAATATCGAGAAAATTACTTCCAGGGACACTGACCCAAAAGGGTTGAAACCACAAAAAGAAAAACTTACCCCCCTTAATGCTCTAGGGACATTACATTTTCTCCCCCTTTTTTATTTGTATTTCCCAACGTTGTTTTTTTTTGTGTGTGTGTGCGGGAGAAAGGGGCCTGTTTAGACAGGTATGTTTTGTCAAAAATCCAGGAGTAGCAAAGTGAAAACCACCAGGTCAGTAAAATAATGTTTAGTAGGAGTTTATTATGCACATAAGAACGGTTCGTGTGCCGGGAGCTTTCAAATCCAAAGCTGACCTGAAGCTCGCGCGTGACGGCTGTCGCAGGATGGTTTACACAGTGACGACCCGGAGGTGGTCTGCCCTTTACAGTGAGGGTCCTTGCAGAGAGGGGACTGCCTCCGCGTGACTGTCTGATACTGTTTCTTAGGAAGATGACTTATGTTTCTTTTACGATTATCAGAGACATTTACACAAACTAACGTGTTTTTTTTTTAATCAAATAAGCTGCATTTAATTTTGGCTTCCATGGCTTTCATGGTTTTGTCTACCATACTCTAGGGAAATTTCTAAGTCCAATCTCCACTTTGTATTTCATTTTCACAGTTTATTAGTAAAACTTTGAGGTTTTTGTGTGTAATATCTTCATAAAAATTCAAAATGAAAAAAGAAGAGAGGAGGAATATTGGGTGGTAAGAAAGACATTCACGTAGCACTGGGTGTGAAGGGAGGAGCCCACCCACTGAGAAGCAGGCCCTGAGGGGCTCTCACCCTCCGGGGTGGGTAGCGGGGTGGGTAGCGGGGAGGGACGTGGGGCAGGAGGCTGAGCAGGAATTTGGGGTTGGCTGGCAAGGCCAGCCCCTCGGCCAGGGAGCGGACAGGTGGGGACCTTGCCGCAATAGACAGAAACTTCAGTGCAGGAGGCTGATGGGGATGGGGTGGCGGATGTCAGAAGGGAGCTCTGGGCTGGGAGCGGAGATTTCTAGGCGGGGAGGGCCTTCGGGGTAAGCCGTTTCCAGGGCTTCTACCCAGCAAAGCTCCCCCCAGCCACCACACCCTCCAGGAAGCTGCCCAGGAGAAAGAACAGCTGGAATGTGTTGAAATGCGCCTATATGATGGTCACCTTCCTGTTTGTGTCCGACAATAAAGGGGACTGGGTAAGAAGGAGCTGGGACCTCAGGGTGGAGGGTGCAGGGAGAGGGACAGAGGGAGAGAGACGGCTGGACCACTGGGTGGGGGCCTCAGGGGGGCCAGGGGGCCGTCAGTGAAGGAGGGGGAGCTCTTACCCCAGCCCAGAGGAAGGACGGGCTCATGGAGGGGCTCCTGAAAGAGAGGCCGCCCCACTCCATGTGGACAGAACTAGCCACTGATGCGGGGATGGCGGGAGGCATTCCTGCAGAGGAAACGCTGTGTGTACCAGAGCAGACACTGTGAGTATGACTTGCAGAACGGCCAGTAGCCACTCATTCCCATGCATTCCTTCCTCAAATCTTTATGTGGGTAGCAAGTCTGTGTGAGATGCTGGGGACTCAGCAGCACAGGACTCACAAGGCCCCTGAGCTCGCATGGCAGGGGTGGTGGGACAAGTCCCAGAGAAAGGGGCCGCGCCAGGGGACACGTCATGAGCGTAGGGAACATGAGAGGCAAAGACCCGGAGGCAGAAATGCACTGTGTGCCATCAAGGAACCCAAGGAAATCTGCATGGGCTGAGGGGGGCAGAGGGACTCCGGGTCACCAAGGGGCTCCGTGGACCAGGGCAAGGAGGAGATTTTTATTCTATGTTGGTGTAGAGCCCATTGGTGATACCTGATCTGAGGCATGGGAGGATCGTTCTGGAAGCTGCACACAGACAGTGAATTGGAATCAGGGCAAGAGTGGAAGCAAGGAGACTGAGAGAAGGGGGTCTGGGTGGCCCAGCCAGGGTGTCTGGTGATGGTAGTGGAGCTCAGGGAGACCTTGCAGCCGTTCTACAAGGAGAAGCGCAAATGGCATGGGTGCGAGGGACGAGGAATGAAGGGCCATGGAGTTGAGCCCCGTGCTTGAGCTCGGTCAGACCAGGGGTTCCCAAATGGAGCGACTTTGCCACCCAGGGGGAGCTCAGCAGTGTCTGGGGACGTTCATAGTCATCAAAACGGGGGGAAGGTGCTCCTGGCGCCTAGTAGGGGAAGCCCAGTGAGGCCACCCCACATCCTACGGTGCCCAGAACAGGCCCCCATGACAAAGGACATTCAGGTCAAAATGTCAGTAGTGATGCGGTTGAGGAAGCCCAGGTCAGAGGACACTGTCACCCCTGCGGAGGAGGAGAACCTGCCGGGAGATGGTGCAGACCAGGGGAGCAGTGAGGGGGGCGCTGGCGGAGCAGCAGGGAGAGGGGGCAGGAGGCGGCAGGAAGGAAGGGGGGGAGGGAGGAAGGACGCGGACTGGCCTCACCCCTGCCATTTCTCTCTCTTTCCACGTCGCCCCTCCGTCAGCCTCCCCAGGGTCACTGCCACCCTGTGGCCTAGATCTGGGCAGCAGGTGCGTCACAGCGGGGCCGGGTCTGCCCGCCGCTGGCTGGGAGGGCTGGGCCCCCCTGCCCGGTGTCGGTGTAGGAACCAGCCCCACGTGGGTCTGGACACTCCCACTGTAGGACTGTGCGGGGACCCCGAGTTCTCACCCTTCACCAGGGGAGCAGTGAGAGGGGGGCTGGCAGAGCAGCAGGGAGAGGGGGCAGGAGGCGGCAGGAAGCCTCCACTCAAGGCGGCCGAACAAGAGCATTACACATGGAGAGCAGAGGCATCCATCTATGAATTCATCACCCCAAAAGGAACCCCTGGGCCCGTAAGCAGTCTCTCCCCCCAGCCCCTGGAGACCTCTGGTCAGCTCTGTCTCCCTCCCTCTCTGGATCTGCCTGTTCTGGCCGTTTCGCCTCACCAGAATCAGGCACCATGTGGCCTTCTGTCCGGCTTCCCTCACGGGCATCATTCTCTAGGTCCCTCAGGGCCTCATCCTGCTTTGTGGCTGACTGGCTTCCCACTGCGTGAATGCGCCGCATTTTGTTTTCCCACTCATCAGCTGAAGGACTTTTGGGGTGTTCCCACCTATTGACTGTTGTGACTAGTGCTGCTGTGAACATTTGCGTACAAGTTTTTGTTTGAACACCTGTTTCTCATTCTCTTGGGTGCACACCTAGGTATGGTGATTCCATGTTTAATTTATTAAGGAACTCAATATATATATATATTATATATATATTTAGCAACTACTCTATGATGGACCTGGATTGGTTAAAATTCTTAAATGGTGAATTTTATGTTATGTGGACTTTACCTCAAGTAAAAAATTTATATATATAAATGGCGCACAGGCTGGAGTCACCCTGGGGCTGTAGTCTGGGCACCCCTACACTAGACTGAGCCCTTTGGGAGCAAGAAGGCCATGTGACCTACTACTGGGACTCCAGTGCCCAGGGCAAACCTTTTATATTCACTCCTTGCCTCAGCCCTGCAGGGCTCCAGTGAGCCGTGTTGGGGGTACTGCCCGGCTGCCTCAGAAGAGGTCCCTGTGCTCAGGAGTGCGCCCTCTAGTGGGGTAGTGGGGGCGGGGGTAAACTAGCAACCACATGAGTTTCCTGGAAGGCCAGAGGGGTGCTGCCCGAGAGGAACTGGAGGTCGTGCTTCTTCCCACCGGTGGCTGGAAGAATCCCTCTCTGAAGAGGAGACGTTTGTGCTAAGGGCTGGGGAGGAGCCCGCCTGTTGAGATGCAGGGCTGTTTCAGGTGGTGGAGCAGCCTGGTGGGTTGGAAGGACCGGGCGGGGGGAGCACAGTGAGAGAGGAGAGTGGTCTAGCACGCAAATTGATGCAAATACATTCCTCTCTCTTTTTTCCCTTAGAACCAATCCCTGTGGTTCTTTCTAGCCACCCTGCTCCATTTCATCTCAACCTTCAGGCGTCCTCCATCTTCTGAGTAGCCTCACCTCCTAGGAAGCACTGCCAAATGAATTGGGTCCTTTGAATAACACCTGTCTGCCCAGAGGTTGGAAGGGGCCATGAGAAGATAGGCCTGGAGAGCAGCTGAGTGAGCATATGCAGGCGTTCCCCACTTCTCTTCCAGGCTGTTCCTACAATAAACTGTTCCTACAATAAACTGTATACTTGTTGAAATGGTAGAATGCTCGGTTCTTCCATTCACCCAACATTGAGAATAATGTGTAGGGTGCCAAGACTCATAGATGTCATGTAATCCTAGCAATAAACCCATAAGGCCGTTGTATTATGCTGCCCACTTTATAGTCAACAAAACCGATGACTTGCACCCAAGCAAGTTCCAATAGTGGCAGAGCTGATTTCTGATCCAGATTTCACTCATTCATTCCAAGGTCTACTCTTTTGCATAAAGATTTGGGGATTCCCACTAAGGGCAGTGTACCCCGAGGGACATTTGGCAGCGTCTGGAGACATTTTGGGTTGTCACGACTGGCGGGCTGTATGGGGTGCTCCCGGCATCTAGTGGCGGAGCCCAGGGAAGCGGCTCAGCATCCTACGTGCACAGGACGACCACCACCCCAAGTACTCAGTCCCAAATGTCGCTGAGGTTGGCAAATATGGGTTCACTTTCTTCCTCTCCTCGCCAAACAGCGCGCAGGCAGGCCCCCAGCTAGGTCACCACTGTCTCCCTGGCAACTGGCCCTTCTAGGCGTTGAGTAACGACCTGCTGAGCGAATAAACGCTCAGCACTGCACCGTTCTCGGGGCCCCGAGCAGGCAGTGACCTTGTTTGCCGAAGACAGGCTGGAGCGGAGGGTCTAGGTGTCCAGCCAGATTGGAAACAAAAGATGAACAAACAAAACGAGAGAACGAATTCCAGCCAAGTCTCTGGGCACTTGGAAGACAGCAGGCCCCGGCCGACGGGGCTCCAGGCGTCACGACCACTAACGGACGCCCCGGACGCCCCGCCCACCATCCCAGGCGCATGCGCCCTCCGCCTCCTAGCTGGGCGTGGCGTGGGACTTCACCACGCAAGGGGCGGAGGCCGAGCGGGAGGGTTACCATGGTGGCCGCCGCGCGCTCAGAGACCCCCACCGTCTACCTCAAGTGGTGCCAGCTAAAGGAAGCCGAACGCCTGGGGCGGGAATGTTACTCATCCCATCAGCGGTGCTGTGGCTGGGCGATCACCGCCGATCCCGGGTGGGTCCGGCCAGTCCGGGGCAGGGGGCCATCTCCCTCGTCCTTCCCTGTCGTTTCCCCAGCAAACAGTGGTCGGTGAGAGCGTTTGCAAGCGCTGCCTACCCACGAATCATGCCTGGATGCAGGCATTTTTATCACAATCTATTTAGAAATAAGTGCGTCTCCGTTCCTCTGTCCATTTGAGACTACAATGCCCAAAAGTCTCTGGGCCTCTCTGTCCCAGACATTCCGCCGAGGGTTGCCTTGGAGACAGCGAGACGCCGGAAGCTTGACGAATGAGGCAGGGCCAAACTGGCAGAAAGATTGCGATTGGTGGAGAGGCCGCACGGCTCCGTTAAAGGACCAGTCAGTATGCACATGCGCATTGCGGTAACCCCACGCTCATTCGCGGTCGGTGGAGTCCAGGGGTCCGTGAGCTTCCGTCACCTGGGTCGCATCGCAGGTCGGGCTGTGGGGAGGCCGAGCCTGCGCGCGGAGGCGCCCCGTGCTCGCTCCCAAGGCCAGAAGTGCAGGCCCCGAAGTGTGCTGGGAGGTGAGTGCGCCGCCCGCTTCCCCTCCCGGATTTCCAAAGGTGATTCCAGTTTCCTTGGTAACAGCCCTGCTCCCTCGCCTGTGACGTCATGACTCTGCTCGCTCGCCTGTGACGTCATAGCTTTCCCTGGGCGGTGAGAGAGCAGATTTGAAAGGGTCGTGGGTTTTGAGCCGCGCCCCCTTCTCTGGGCCGCCCACTCCGTGCCCGCAACCTCGGGAAGCGTGAGCCGAGGCCCCGATTTCCTTTTTGTGCAATGATCTTTAGAGCTCTTTCTGTGCTGCTTACTAGCCCTGAGACCCTGGGCGAGGTACACATGCCCCGTGCCTCAGTTTCCCCACCTAAAATAAGAACATAGAACTTAACCCGTAAGATTAAGGAGGCTTAGGACAATGCCCCGCACTCAAGGACCACCCAAGTGTTTGTGCCACAGCCATCTTTGAGGATTTGGACAAATACCCTGCCCCTCCCCCCCAGTGTGTTGGTCTGCAAACTGGGCTCACTGGGTTTCATGAGCGCGTCCCTTCTCAGCACGCAGCCCATGACTTTGTTCTTCCTGAGGGATGCTATAGGTTTTGGGGATGAGACACTGAGATTCCAGAAATCTGTCCTTGTCATGGCCACTGCTGTGTGACCCTGCTCGGCCCTCGTCCTTGACGAGTTCTGAGTTTCCTCGAGTGGAAATGATGGGGATGGACTTAAGACTTGAGCTTCTGGGCCAGGCACTGCCTCGACTTTGCTTGGTGACCTTGGGCAAAAAGCTGTCTGGTGCGACGTCGCCCCATCTGTAGAATAACAAGGGGCGCACAGCCGACTTGGGGTCTTTAGGTGCTAAAACTTTAGTCAGTCCTGTGTTCCATCGCCCCCACCCCAAACTTACCCTCCGTTCTCCGTGTGCAGTATCTTTGGCCTCCTGTCTTAGATATACCCTCACCATTGCCTATCAGTATTTGGTTTTCCAATTGTGTGCCAAAACTGGGCCTAGCCATGTTTCCCTTGCCTGTCTCTGAAATAAGAGTCTAACTCGGTTAGTGCCCCCTCGTGATCCCTGAAGGCATAAGACATTGGCAACACTGAATTGTGTGCCCAGGAAGTTATTTTTTTCAGTTCTCTCAGGGTTTCTGAACCATAGCTAGGGAATAAGCGTGGTGTATCAGCTCTGATGCTTACCAATCTCCCTTATATTAGGTTCTATCATTTATGTATATATATTTTTTATTGGCAAATAAAATATACATGTTTAATGTGTACAACTTATGTAGAGATACATATGAATTATATATATACGTACACAAAGATTGTGGAATAATGACCACAGATAAGATAATTAATACATAGGTTCTATCATTTTTAATTGTATTCATTGGTAGGACTATCTTTATGGCAAGTGATACTGGCTTGCCATTTGGGGGCAGTACAATGAAGTTTCATTTCAAAAATAAACTTTGTACATTCAATGGCTCTCAGTCTTGGTTGTACACCAGAAACACTTGAGCTGTAAAAAAATATTATGCTGGCCCCACCTCTGGAGATGGGTTCAGATTGTCTTGGTTGTAGCCCAGGGCATTGTTTTAAAAACTCAAAAGACTCTTATATGTAGGAAGATTGAGAAACACAAATAAGACCATCTGTGAAGGTCTGCTGTGCTCAACATTAATTAATGTTTCATTCCTAAAGCCTCACGAGGTCTTTGTCCCACCTTCGGTTTCCTTCATTCAGTTACTAACCCTTTCACCTAAACTAGTGCAGTCTTGTCTAGTTAACCCTTCACATCAGCTAACAGCCTGGGGAAGACTATTTCCCTGTGGAAGCCGCTTGGAGACGCTCTTCCAGCTCGTACAAGCTGCGGGTTCTGGCCCCGAGGCTCTGAATATTTGTACCCCCTACCCCCTCATTGCCACTGTGATGGCGTTTGAAGGCGGGGCCTTTGGGAGGTGACTGGGTCTGGATAAGGTCATGGGGTGGGGCCCATGCAATCCTTATTTGGTCTGAACCCGGCACCCACCCGGGAGGCAGGAATTCAAGTCCATACTTATAAACGGGTCTCTGAGGCGCGTAATCCCTGAGCCATTAGGAGGTGGAACTGGGATAAACGTATTTGGCGCTCCGCCCCCAGCGCGCCCCTTGTGCACATCGATATGATAATCTGGGAAAAGGGGCGCACCCAAGAACTGGGTTGTTTTTTTTTTCTTTTCCTCTTTGGAACCCCTGTGGCATGATGGGTGCATTTTCAAACTTTCAGCAGGAGCCACTTAGCTGGAGGCACCAGAACCGGGCCATTTCTGGAGAGTAACCCCAGAGGGCATGATGGAGGTCTCTCAGCGCGCCGAGCCCCGAGAGGCCTGGAGGCAGGACGCGGCCGACGACCAAGAGCCGCTCCTGGGGGAGCTGACCATCGTGGAGGACGAAGGCCCCCGATGTTACGGGCTCGGGAGAACGGGCAGCCGGCCTGTCAGTCAGTCCGGGAAAACCGCAGAGGGGAGCCCGCAGCGCTGCGCGGTCTGCGGGAAGAGCGGCGGGCAGCGCTCGGACCTGCTCAGCCACCCGAGGATCCCCTCCGGGAAGGGGCCGCTCCGGTGCAGCGAGTGCGGCGAGAGGCGCAGCCCGAGCACGCGCCCGGCGCGCCCCCGGAAGGCCCTCGGGCCGCAGAGGCCGCACGGCTGCGGGGACTGCGGCAGGGCCTTCGGCTCGCCCGGCGCGCTGCAGCGGCACCAGCGCCTGCACACCGGCCAGCGGCCCTTCGCGTGCGCCGTGTGCGGCAAGGCCTTCACCCAGCGCCCCTACCTGGCGCAGCACCTACGCGTGCACTCGGGCGTGCGGCCCTTCGTGTGCGAGCGCTGCGGCAAGGCTTTCGGCAAGTGCGCGCACCTGGCGCGCCACCGCGGGACGCACGCGTGTGCCCGGGCGCGGCTCGGTGGGGCGCCCGACGCGGAGGCGGCGCCAGCGCAGCCTCGGCGCCAGCACACCGGCTAATTCGCGTCCCAAACGGCGGGCGGCGCCTTGCCGGGCCCCGCGGAGACACGGCGGGTGGGAGGGATTAGAGGCAGGGAGGCCGCTGCAGAGCCTTCTTTAGAGGCCTCATTATGCCCCCCTCTGAAAGGAGTATCGGAGAGCCTTGTTATTGCCAACCTCGGAGTTCCTATGCCCCTTCCTTGGACGCTGGACGTGAGCGTGTAGGGGTCTGCGGCACTCGGCCCCTGGCTGCACCTCCCCGCGCGGGCTCCTGCTCTGGGCAGGAGGGGCAAGGAGGTCGGTGTGCTGCTTCAGAACGGCCCAGTGGAGGCGGGACCACGGGGCCCGGGTTCCCTTTCGGCCCCTGTGTGCATGTGGGTAAATAGCCCTTGTCCGCCCCGCGCTGTGTGTGTCCAGGCTCTGCTCCAGGGCTTGACGGAGGAAGTGCGTGGAATCCTTGCACCTCCCCTGCCTGATGCTGTCAGCACCTGTGTGGGGAGCCCGGGGTCCAGGGTCACGACCCTAGGACGACCAGGATGGTCGCCTCGGCAGCTGGGCGCCAGGAGCTGCCCCGTCAACCACTAGATACCCAGGAATCAAGATGAGGCTCCCTGACCCCTTGTCAGACCCGCAGTGGCACCCTCTCATTTGCTTCTTCTGGCAGCCTCCTGGGGCTTGGTCTCGTCCCAGGCCCCCAGAAGGAAATCACGGGGTGAAACAGCCCAGCCCAGAATGCTGGCCCTGCAGGCTTCTGCCGGCTCTTTGGGGGCCGGGCCCAGGGCCGCTGGCGGACCGAAGTGGTGGTCCTTACAATTCTCGGATCGTGAGTGGGGAACCTGAGGGGTGGCGGGGTCCAGGATGCCCAGACCATACGCAGTGCCCGGGAAGCTGCTGTTCACTTCCTGAGAAAGAGGAGATGGGGTGCTGGGTCTTCTGAACCTTGATCATGGGTCAGCACAGTAATCTCTTGGCCTCGCAGTCTGCTGGAGAGTAAGAATTCGGTTGGCTTTTGTTGTCGGCTTCTGGGAGGGCATCCTGGAGCCCTTTAATCACCCAGTGCTGGGGGAGCTTCTGTTAACTCCAGTGGCCCGTCGACCCCTCCTGGGGGTGTGCCGAAAGGGGCCTCTAGGTGGGCCCGGGTCAGTTCCAGGGTAGGGGCTGGTGAGACCTCTAGCTGGAAAGGGCAACTAGAGGGTCTGGGCTTTGGGCCACCTGGTGAACCCACACCTGGGGGGGAGGGGTGCGGGGCTGGGGACAGAGCTTGTCAGGTGGACGTGTTTGAGCTAAAGGCAATTAAGACCCTGCAGGGTTCAGCAGCGTTTGCCCAAATACCTAGAAAAGCCTAGTTGGAGTCTTTTCCAGGGTAACAGTCATTATCAGAGATCATTTTTCCGAGTGACCCACGTGTACCGCAGGGCAAACATCACAAGCCTGCTCTCCATTGCCCTGGCAGTGCCCTGCCCCCTCTGAAGCCTCCCATCGGTTCCTTAGGCCAGGATGGCATATAGTCCTCATTTTACCTGTTTTGGAAGCTCTCTTGTATATGGGGTTCCCATACAAACAAAATTAAATTTGTTTTCTCCTGTTAATCTGTCTCATGTCCATTCTTAGACCAACCAGAAGAACCTTTGAGAGATAAAGTCTTGCCTCACCAACCTGTCCTTTGTAAGAAAACTGTAACCATAAGTAGAGTTCTTTCCTGAGTTCTAAGAGTCATTCCAGCAAGTTCTCAAACCTGAGGGGATGGTGAGAGTAAGTGGAAACCTCCAAATCCGTAGCCAGTTTGGGCAGAAGTGAGGGAGCGCTGGGGTGCCTGCCTGCTGTCTGCAGCCCAGGGCATCCTGCACCCTCCACCCGAGAAGTCTGGTCCAAAATGACCTTTTCCCTCTAATGTTAATATTTTATTACTATTTTTGTTTCTTCCCACATTAGGCCTGACCTGGAATTAGGCCGGTGGTCAAACCGCAGTGCCTGGGCTGAGGGTGGGGTGGCAAGGTGTGGCGTTACCACCTGTTGCCCCCTCCAACCTCCCACCCTGAACAAGTGGCCCTAAAATCCGGCGGTGGCCACTGCTCTAGACCAGCCTCGGCTGCATGAGTGCGGCGGCGGCCTGCCCGTTCTGAGTGTTTGCCGTGCACAGGACCAAACGCTGAGACCTGGGCCTCACTGCACTCCCCAGCCGGCCGCTCAGAGGGGCAGGCGGGAAGGTCATCTCTCCTCGGCCAGGTTTTCTGGCTGGTCTCATTAAATTGGTACAAGACAGATGAGCAGGAGGAAAACAGTTTAATAATGTGTATTGTGTACATGGGAGGGACCCAGGAAAATGAGTAACGAAGAAATGGTCGGCAGCCGTCACCTCAGATAGCATTTTGGCCAAAGACAAAGGCTTGTGGAGGTCACCAGGAAAGGTGCAGCAAACCCGACCGGTTATGCAGATTAAGTCCCGACCTGCACCGACACCCTTTCAAGAGACTTTCTTATAAATGCCATTGTCTCTTAGGAAACGTCGACTGAAAGGTTTTTAGAGCTTCTCTGTGTCAGCAGTTTCTTAAAACTAGAGCTTAAAATAATAAATATGCCGAAAGGGCCCATCTTGGGCGGGTCAAAATTTGTCCCCCACCCCCACCATCAGCGCTTTCTTCCCGCCCCTGCTCCTGGGCAGCGCGCGGCCCGGTTAGGAGTTTGCGCCCCGGGTCCTGCCTGGATGTGGCTCCTCCCCAGGCACCCCCCCCGCCCCGCGCGGAGCCGTTGGTGTTTCTAGGCCTCACGTGTAAAAGGCCTGGGGCGCAGTTTTCTTCAAAGCGGCTAGTACACCCTTGCTTTTAAATGACACATTACCTGCTTGATAGAGTCTCTAGCAGCCAACGAGGGCGGCCACACACGACTACTCATTGTGTGCTGAGGCGTGTAAAGCGCTTATTTTCCTAAACTTTCGCTGCGTCCTCGTGCATGCAGTTTACTCCGACGATCCCCATTTCCCTAGTAGGACCACCGAGCGGAGCGGGCAGAGGAAGATGGCCCCGTACATCCCCCAACGTCAGCATCTCCCGTTAGCCACGTAGTTTTCCTACCGCTGGTATTATCATGATCACATAGCAATATACATGTCTGATTTGTAATAAATACTGGTCTTCATCCGCATTCCAGGCCCAGCGCTCCTAAAACCCCTCCTAGATTCGAGAGATGAAGGTGCCTTTTTTATGTTAATAGCTGACTTGGAAAGCACCACAGGATGGGGGCTGGTTGCCAAGGCAACCAACCTCTTGATCAGGGGATTGGAACTTTCCAGCTGAATCCATCTCCCTGGCCAATGGCTTAATCACACCTGTGTAGCGAAGCTTCCACCGAAACCCAAAGGGGCGGTGGTGCTCGGAGTCTCCGGGGTGCTGGGCAGGCTGGGAGGGTGGGAACCCGTCGCCCTCTCCCATACCTGGCCGAATGCACCTCTTCCATCTGGCTGTACCTGAGTTTTACCCTTTCATAATAAACCAGCGATCTACCAAGTGAAATATTTCTCCGAGTTAGGTGAGCGGCCCTAGCTAATTAATTGAACCCGAGGAGGGGGTCGTCGGAACCTCCAGTCTGTAGCTGGTGGGTCAGAAGCACCAGTGCCAACCTGGACTTAGACTAGCATCTGAAGGGGCAGCCTTGGAGGACGGAGCCCTCCCCCTGTGGGAGCCGATGCCATCTCCAGGTGGCGTCGGAATTGAGTTAAATTGTAGGACACCCAGGCAGCGTCAGAGATTCGTGGTGTGTGAAAAAATCACGCATTGTGATCGGGATCGGATCAGATCGCGTAAGCCCTCTCTGGCGCCTGCGTCCTTGGATCCCTAGGCCCCTTTATGATTCTGAACAAAACCGTGACAGAGTAGCCGCTAAATTAAGGCACAGTCTAGTCTATCCTAGTTGCAAAGTTTACAGCAACCTGTCCTTTAATCTCTTGTACTTTGGAAATCACCACCCGGGGGTGGGGACGCGGGTCCCCATCCCAGAGACTGAGCTCCATTCAGCCCCAGGTGGCGCTGGGCCGGTTTTTAAAACATAATATTCCAAAGAAATTAGCGAATGCTAAGGTGGTGATCATATTGCAATATAGAAACGCATCAAAGCACATTATATCTCTATACATAAACGCACGCAATGGTGTTATGTCGTCTATATTTCAATAAAGCTGGAGGAAAAAAAAGGAAAGATAAGTGGGTGTCAGCGGCATCTCGCAGTCCTCGGGGACGGGGCGGGGCTGGCAGGGGTCAAAGGAAAGGGCAGCCGTGAGGGTGTGGAAAGAGCTACCGGAGGAGAAACGCTGCCTCCCAGAGGACCAGGGGCTGGTAAGCGCTTCCGTCCCCCAAGCTGGGGCGGGGCAGGGACGGCTTCCGGGAAGCAGTGCAGGGAGATCTAAAGGGGGGAGAGGGGGAGGGCGAGGATGGGTGACGCGGTGCATCCCCTGCCCACGTCTGTGCCCAGAACACGGGCTGCAAGCGGCTGGGAAATGCAGCCTGGACTCAGCCGCGGGCCAGCTGCAAGGCAGGGTCCTTTCCCGGAGGAGAAAGCCCGACGCCGGCAGCCACCAGCAGAGGTGCTGCTCCAATGCGTCCACTAATGATACCCCCGCCATAATAAAAACAGCTAATGCCACTTGCTGAACCCACATACTCCCCCAACCCAGAGATGCTTTGCCCGTCTTATAAATGGGGACCGTGCGTGGCAGCCTCTCGGTGAGCCTCAGTTCCCTCGGTGCGCTGACACGCCAGGCTCCCTCCCCGCACTCACTGGGGCGCACGCGTGCGCACCGCTCCCCCGAGCGCCCGGGTAGTGGGAAGGCTCCCGCGCCCCTCGGGTTTGGGCCGCGCGTGGCCGCGGTGCCACCTGGTGGCCACACCCCGCAATTGCCGGCGGGGCGCAGCCCGGCACTGCTCCGCGCCGGCGGACCGGGCACGTGACGCGAGGGAGGGGCGGCTGGTGTGAGCCGCAGGCAGCGGCGGGGCCTGGGGAGGACTGGGGAGCCGTCCCACTCCCCAGCCCAGGGCTCCGTGTGGGGATGCGGACGCAGAATTCCCCTAGATTGTGTTTTTTCCCACCTAGAAATCCCAATTCATGTGGAACGTGTCTCTGTTTTTAGAGATGGACTCCAATCAAAATTGTTTTACAAGCACTATGTGGACCAAGCACGCCTGGCGGCCGCGGCCCACCGCTTTGCGGCATTTCCTCTACGCTGTATGGTCTTACGGGGTTCTATTGGTCAATGTTCCCGCACCCCCTGCTTTTGGTGGCTTTGGTGGTTAGTTACATGTCCGCTTGACCACCCGGTGCTCAGAGGCCTGGGAAAACGTGATTTCTGGGTGCGTCTGTGACGGTGTATCCGGAGACCAGCATTTGAATCCGCAGGCGGAGCCAGGCCGGTGGTCCTCCCAGGAGCGGGTGGACGGGAGGGCATCTTGCAGTCTGTTAAGGGTCTGAATGGGTCAAAGGTGCAGGAGGGGTGAATCCTCTCTGACCCGCTGGCTGAGCTGCACGTGGCCTGTGCAGAGGGTGGATAGCCTGTCTTCTCAGCCTCCACAACCGCAGGAGCCAGCTCCTCATAATAAATCCCTGTACAGACTAGATCCTGTCGGGTCTGTTTCCCGGGAGGGCCCTGTCTCGCACAGTGGCTTTCTGTTCAATGCCTGTGCTGTGCCCCACGCTTCACCAGCGTTGTTCTCATGTCGTCTTCCCTGCGAATCACAGAACACTAGTAATCATCTCAGCTGTCAACGTGAGAATAAGGACCCCAACGACAGGCAAATGAGGGTTTATTTGGATCAAAGAATTGCAGTTGGGGAGCGCAGATTCCTACAGTAACCAGAAAAGCTTCCCTCTGGTGGGGTGCGGGCAAGGGTTTTTGAGAAGGGGGGCAGGGGGAGCGATTGTATGACTAGGATGAAAAGGAGAACAACTGTCAGTTGGTGCTAACAGGCTGAGCACCACGGGTCACACACTGACGGACTCTTGGTGTTAGCAAACAAGACTATTCCAGGATGCTTAGTTAGCTCTTCAGAAAGTCCACAGTCCGAATGCCTGTTCTGTCGGCTTTGCAGACAATTGCTTGTAAAACAATTGCCACTTCTGCCCAGTGGCTCCGTCCAGTTTTGGCCCAGTTCAAAGGCAGGTAGGCCGTTTCCGTATAGCAGCCTCTCAGGCTTTATTTTAAAGTGTCTTCAATCATGTCAATTTTTCATACAGCTTTAAGATGATCAATAATAATAGCAGCCAGTGTTTATGGAGTTCTAGGCATGTACCCGATGTTTTGCTGAACACAGTGTATAAATTACTTCATTGGGTTTCTACACCAATCCTTTGAGGTGGATTCTGTTGGCATCCTCGTTTTGCTATGAGCAGATAGGCACAGAGAGGTTGAGCGCCAGTCTCAAGGTCACACAGCTTTAAATGGTCTTTTATTGTCTAGTTCACCACTGGCCGTACATGGCACACTTCACACGTTGATGTGGAGTGTCTAATGCCTCTAAATATTTGAGTTGTCCACCTTTAACATAGACCCTTAAAAGTGACACATGATCATACAGTAATTTTGAAATTCTGTGCCTGAAATGGACCCTAGATAAGATTAGGCCTAATCCCCTGTGTTGACACATGAAGACGTTGAATCCCATAAAAGGTATTTCCCCCAAACACAATCATTTTCTTCGTTCTTTTTTTTTCTTTTCCAATTTTTATTAATTATTTTATTATAAAAAATTTTAGACAAGCAGTCATGTTGATTAAATTTTACAGTTAACACCTATTACCATCACTTAGGTTCTACAACTCACAACTTTATCATGTCTCCCTCATTATATATCTATCAATATAGCCTTCTTTGCATCTATTAAACAATCTTATTATTTTTTTATTAAGGCATCACTGATATATACTCTTATGAAGGTTTCCCAAGAAAAACAATGTGGTTATTACATTCACCCTTATTATCAAGTACCCCCCATGCCCCATTGCAGTCACTGCCCATCAGTGTAGTAAGATGCCGCAGAGTCACTGCTTGTCTTCTCTGAGCTACACTGTCTTCCCCATGACCCCACACACACCATGTGCACCAATCATGATACCCCGCAATCCCCTTCTCCCTCCCTTCCCCCCTGCCCTCCCCCACGCCTCCCCTTTGGTAACCATTAGTCCCTTCCTGGAGTCTGTAAGTCTGCTGCTGTTTTGTTCCTTCACTTTTGCTTCGTTGTTATACTCCACAAATGAGGGAAATCATTTGGTATTTGTCTTCCTCTGCCTGGCTTATTTCACTGAGCATAATAACCTCTAGCTCCATCCATGTTGTTGCAACTGGTAGGATTTGTTTCTTTCTATGGCTGAATAGTATTCCATTGTGTATATGTACCACATCTTTATCCATTCATCTACTGATGGACACTTAGGTTGCTTCCATATCTTGGCTATTAGAAATAGTGCCGCAATAAACTTAGGGGTGCATATGTCTTTTTGAATCTAAGAAGTTGTTTTCTTTTGGTAAATTCCTAGGAGTGGAATTTCCTGGTCAAATGGTATTTGTATTTTTTAGTTTTTTGAGGAACCTGCATATTGCTTTCCACAGTGG